GACAATAAAGGTTGATTCTGTACCATGGAGGGACAGTGAATGGTAGTTTGATAGCACAGACTCTGAGGGTTGGTTCTTTATCATATGGAGACTTTAAGGGACTATGGATTGGTGAAAAGGGTTGGTTCTGTGCCATGGAAGGACAGTAAGGATATCCCATTTAGAGACTGTAAGAGTTGTGTTTGTACCTTGGAGGATACATAAAAGGGATTGGGTCTTATACTATACAAAGGGTTGGTCCTATAACATAGGAGGACAGTATTTTTTGGTTCTATTTCACGAAGGAACAGTAATTCTTGATCCTGCACCAAAAGTATGTGTTGGTTCTGTTCTACAGAGTAGCTAAAATGTTGGTTCCATACCATAGAGAAGGTGTTCAGGTTTGGTTTTGTCCCATGGAGGAGCTCTAAGGTTTGGTTCCTGTCCCACAATCGCATACTTTACATTCCATATTATGCCGGGATTGTAATCTTTGGCTCTGCATTGCGCAGAGACTTTGCGGGTTGATGGTTTTGTCTGTGCAGGGAATGTAATGTTTTGGTGGTACATTTAAGGTTGATGGTACAGAGACCATGAGGATTGGTTGAACATTGTGCAGAAATTGGCCATACGATTGCCTCTACCTTGCACAGGGACTGTGGGGGGTGGTTGTTGCCCATGGTGCAGATCCTCTGACGTTTGGTTGTACATTGTGCCGGGACTCTGCGATTTGCATGCAGGTTTGGCTGAGTAGTTTGGTATTGTGCAAATACTGTGAACATTGCTTGTTTGTTGTGCAGGGACAACAGGCTTTGGCTGTACATTGTGCACGAGGTTGGCATTGGTTTAATATTGTGCATATTGTGTGGTTGGATGGTTCATTTTACAGGAACCATAACGTTTGCTTGTAGATTGTGCAGGAACCTTGAGGGTTGGATGTAGATTGTACAGGAACCATGAAGGTTGGCTGTAGATTGTACAGGAACCATGAAGGTTGGTTGTAGATTGTACAGGAACCATGAAGGTTGGTTGTAGATTGTACAGGAACCATGAAGGTTGGTTGTAGATTGTGCAGGGACCATGACTGTTGCTTGTAGATTGTGCAGGGACCATGACTGTTGCTTGTAGATTGTGCAGGGACCATGACTGTTGCTTGTAGATTGTGCAGGGACCATGACGGTTGCTTGTAGATTGTGCAGGGACCATGACGGTTGCTTGTAGATTGTGCAGGGACCGTGACGGTTGCTTGTAGATTGTGCAGGGACCGTGACGGTTGCTTGTAGATTGTGCAGGGACCGTGACGGTTGCTTGTAGATTGTGCAGGGACCGTGACGGTTGCTTGTAGATTGTGCAGGGACCATGACGGTTGCTTGTAGATTGTGCAGGGACCATGACGGTTGCTTGTAGATTGTGCAGGGACCATGACGGTTGCTTGTAGATTGTGCAGGGACCATGACGGTTGCTTGTAGATTGTGCAGGGACCGTGAGGGTAGGTTGTATGTTTTGGTTGAACATTCTGCAGGAACCGGAACACTTGGTTGTACATTGTTTAAGAACCATCAAGTTTGGTTGCAAATTGTGCCGGAAACTGTGGAATCTGGTTGTCCATTGTTCAGAGAGGTTTGGTTGCATTGCACACCCAGGCACTCAGTCATGTGGCACATTGTTCCTTGCAGGCAGCATGCAGGTGCCCGTCTCCTGCCTCATTGTCTGACGTGCAGGTTAAAGCGGCGCCCAGGAGAACCGCGCAATCCTAGTGCTTATGTGAAATATTCCAGTGGCTGAGTCGGATTTTCCTTCCCTTTTAATGAGCTGCCGAGGGAGGGGGGGAGGTCTATTTTAGTAGGTTGAGGATTATAGGACACAGGAGCACTGACACTGCTCATCACATCCAGCACAGGGAGTTCCCCTGCAGTCCAACTTCACAAGACGCTGCCGAAGGGGGTTCCTGGGGGCTCCGCACCGGAAGATGCTGGGAAAGATTGTAGCGCCGGGGTGCGTGCCATGAAGGTAGGACTGTGCAGCATACGAACCTCCATCTTTGTTTTTTTCACCCCTTTTCATTGTAAATAAAGCGCAGGCACCCCATTCAGGAAATGCACGAGCATTGTGCAGCGACGGAAGCTGCGCTCTTCACCCGGCCTAACACAATTATTGTGCAACAAACTAACGCTTTACAAGACCCCTTTGGATACAATTCAACGAATCTTGGAAAACTTTTTTCTTCATGCATACCCTCATATGTACGTACATAGCACCCGATATGTATGTATGTTTGGGGGAGGGCATTCTTTTGAGGGTCTCATTGTTCCAAGTTAACAGTTTCCTTTTTGGCGTAAGACTTTGTGACAACGTTACTACCTACATTGTGGCTCATATTACACGCCATTGTCTTTTTATACGTTTGCAAACAAAGTACCTAAATTTTGCTTTTTTATGGATTTTCTATAAACAAAAACAAAGAATTTTTACCGGAATTTTTAGCAAAGTATCTCGTCCTTCATTGCGGTGTGTTTGCTAGAAAATCATTTTCTGTCCCTTGCATGTTTCACGTGTGTGATGTCCTCATCAGGACCAAAACACATGAGTGTAGACTGTTTCCTGTTCCCCTCAGCACAGGATCAGATCCGGCATTTCACAACTGAACTGGATGGATGTGTGAAAGGAAATCCTAAATAGTTACCAATTGTAACAAAACAGTTGTTAGCTTTAGATATTCTTTTAATTCTTTTATTATTATTATATATGATTTATAGAGCGCCAACAGTCTGCGCAGCGCTTTACAATATAAGGAAGACATTACAATCACAATACAACTCAAGACAAGATGGTAAGGAGGGCCCTGCCCCTGACAGCTTACCATCTAAAAGGGAGGGGCAAGTGATACATGAGGAGGTAGCTGTGTGGGGATGAATTGTACGAGAAGGTGATGGTTGAGTGGTTAGGTTGAGGTGGGATAGGCTTCCCTGAAGAGATGAGTCTTTAGGGAATAGACGGACAGGCTGGGGTAAGGAGTTCCAATGGGTGGGGAATAGACCGACAGGTTGGGGTAAGGTGTTCCAATGGGTGGGGAATAGATGGACAGGTTGGGGTAAGGAGTTCCAATGGGTGGGGAATAGACCGGGGTACGGAGTTCCAATGGGTGGGGAATAGACGACAGGCTGGGGTGAGTAGTTCCAATGGGTGGGGAATAGACGGACAGGCTGGGGTAAGGAATTCCAATGGTGGGGAATAGACGGACAGGTTGGGGTAAGGAGTTCCAATGGGTGGGGAATAGACGGACAGGTTGGGGTATGGAGTTCCAATGGGTAGGGAATAGACGGACAGGCTGGGGTAAGGAGTTCCAATGGGTAGGGAATAGACGGACAGGCTGGGGTAAGGAATTCCAATGGTGTGGAATAGACGGACAGGTTGGGGTACGGAGTTCCAATGGGTGGGGAATAGACGGACAGGTTGGGGTAAGGAGTTCCAATGGGTGGGGAATAGGACAGGTTGGGGTAAGGAGTTCCAATGGGTGGGGAATAGATGGACAGGTTGGGGTAAGGAATTCCAATGGGTGGGGAATAGATGGACAGGTTGGGGTAAGGAATTCCAATGGGTGGGGAATAGACGGACAGGCTGGGGTAAGGAATTCCAATGGGTGGGGAATAGACGGACAGGTTGGGGTACGGAGTTCCGATGGTGGGGAATAGACGGACAGGTTGGGGTAAGGAGTTCCAATGGGTGGGGAATAGACGGACAGGCTGGGGTAAGGAATTCCAATGGTGGGGAATAGACGGACAGGTTGGGGTACGGAGTTCCAATGGGTGGGGAATAGACGACAGGATGGGGTAAGGAATTCCAATGGTGGGGAATAGACGGACAGGTTGGGGTAAGGAGTCCCTAGATGTGGCGGCTGCATTTGTTTCCTTTGTTACCTTTTATTTTCGCCTAGTGATCTCGCCAATACCACACTTCCTGTCCTAGGGTGACAACAGAAATGGGACAGGGCTACAGAACGCCCCCCGCTCCTCATTGACAGACGGAAGGTGTTCTGTCATCCTCAGAGGTAGCTAGGAACAATGTAACTCATAAGAGAGCAGCGCAGGAAGTTATCAGCTCACGAGATTTCTGCCAGGACCAACAGGTAATATTATTTTGCACTTATGGAACAGACATAAAACGCTTTCAATGGTATATTTGCCGGACCAAAAGAGCTCAAATAAGAGAACAAAATCCAGGAAGACGCTCTTCCTTGGATGACGATGGAGAAGGTGGGGACACGCACATTGGGATCCAGGAAATGAGATATTTACAAGGGCTTCCTGGTCACTGGTGCCCTGGACGTTGCTCCCTCCTGTGGCCCCCCACTGGGGCGATGCCGATTCCTTTGTCTGGCTCTCCTCCTTGTGCTTAGTTTGTCATGAACAGCTCCTTTCTCCTTCAGGGTGAAACGCGTTGGAGCACCAAACCCACCATAGTGCCATCCACAGTGCAACCAACTATATGTATGATGGGCTTGGACTATT